AGCTCCATCTAAACCTGCCCTGGGGCAGCTTGAGGCCGGTTCCTCTTGTCCCATTCCTTGTCCCTTGGTGCCCAGCACCTGACAAAGCACTTGGTGGCCCTGAGGGTGGCCAAGCCCCGGCACAGGGTGGGAGGGGGAAGCTCCAGCCCCCAGGGACACGCTTTTGGCCGGGCTGCTCCAGGTGGGGCAGGCGACGGGGACGCTGTGTGAGCCCCTGGCGCCCTCCTTGCAGGTGAAGAAGGCTCTTTGCGTGCTCATCCAGCACCACGTGGTGAGTTACCGGGCGCCGAAGCGGGGGCCGGTGGAGTACGAGGCGCGGTGCGAGCGTGCCCTGCGCCTCCTGCGCTACCCCCGCTACATCTACACCGCCAAGAGCCTCTATGGGGACACGGGCGAGCTCCTGGTGGAGGAGCTGCTCCTCAACGGGCACATGAGCATGAGCGCCCTGGTGAGGAAGGTGGCGGACAGGCTCACCGACACCATGGAAGGTGGGAAGCGCCGCTGGGAGCAGGGATTGGGGGGGCTGGTGCGAGGGGATGTGGGGAAGGAGCTGCCCAAAGTGGGTGGCCTTGGATGAGGCATCCGGCTCTTCTCCGTGGAACCCATTGCAGCGTCCCATCACCCTTGGGGTGAAGAGCTTCTTCCCAATATCCCATCTCCTTTTCCCCTCGGGCAGGTTAAAGCTGTTCCCCCTTGTCCCATCCCTCATCCAAAGCCCCTCTCCAAGGTTTCTTGTAGCCCTTTTTGATTGGAACCAGGCTCTTAGACTGCTTTGGGAAGGAAGGACCCTCAAACCTCATCCAGTCCAGCCCCTTGCAATGAGCAGAGCCATCTTCAATAGATCCCATAGGAATGTTGTCATCTCCCCTCCCCCCCATCCCAAACCACCCTCGGAGCATCCCTGACCACCAGCATCCCCTCACCCTCCGGAGCCACAGGCACCACGCTGACACCACCATCCCTTTCCCTCTGGATTAGATGGGAAAAGCATGGATTACAGCGAGGTGTCCAACACCTTCGTGCGCCTGGTGGACACCCACTTTGTGCAGAGGTGTCCCCTGGTCCCCGAGGGCCTCGACACCCCCAAGGTGCCACCTCCTCCTGCGCCCACCTTGGTGCTCAATGAGAAGGACATGTACGTGGTGCCCAGGCTCAACCTCATAGGTGAGAAGCCCCCTTGACCCTCCTGGCGGGGTTTGGGCCATGTCCTGCTGCCCTGATCCCACAGGGATGGGTTGGGAAGAGCCAACTCCAGCTTCTCCGACAGGGAAAGGGAAGCGGAGGCGGTCGTGCGAGGAGGAGGAGGATGGGGAGCACCAGGCTAAGAAGCAGAAGCAAGACGGGGCAAGCGCTGAGGTACCTGGCACACGGAGCACCCCAGGGCATAAAGCAGGATCTTCCCCTCCGTTCCCTGCCGCCTTCCCTCCATTCCCTGCCTCCTTTCCTCCATTCCGTGCCTCCTTCCCTCCATTCCCTGCCTCCTTCCCTCCATTCCCTGCCTCCTTTCCTCCATTCCCTGCCTCTTTCCC